ATTGTCGGCTCAACAGAAGCAGTTACTTCGTCCACAGACTTCGGTTGTTCCAACGGTGTGGAAAGATCTTCATCGAAGCTCTCTGTTGGAAGAGGGACATTCGCGGCATCAGCTCCATCGTCACGCTTCTGCTCGGTGAGAGAGGTCTCTACAGTGGCAACTTGGTCGGCCGATGAAGGTTGCTCGATATCGCGGGATCGATGAATCACTTCGCTTGGAGTTGCTACTGGTTCGCTGATCGGGGCAGAAGTCTCAATGGGGGCCTCGGTCGGCTCAGGTGCGATTTCGACTTCAGGCTGGGGTGTTGCAGTACCGTTCTTCCGCTTACTCTTCTTGCTCTTCTTGCTCTTGGGTGTTGCAGCAGGCTCAGCTTCTACAGACGCAGACGAAGACTCGGGCATTGGCTCCTGCTCGACAAGGACATCTCTGGGAATTTCCTCTTCGAGAGGCTGCGTGAGATCTTCATCGCGTTGCTCAGTAGGCAGAGGAATGTCAGCGGCCTCGACCTCGGATGATTGAACAACGTCCGGAACGGCAGTCGGCAGGTCGGCGACAGACTCAGAAGCTGTAACAGAAGATGGCTCAGTAGCAGTTATAGGCTCCTCCTGGGGCGTGGAGATACCGCTCTTCTTCTTATCCTTCTTGCTCTTCTTCGTCTTTGGCGCATCTTCATGAACAGAAGGCACGGACTCAACTGGTGCTTCACGCTCTGTCGGTGTGGCTACATCGAGAGGCAGAGAGGTCTCTTCGGGGGTAGGCTCCTCAATAGTCGGTGCGAGCTCAGATGCAAGCTCCGCAGCCTCCGTGCTGGAGGGCACAGTTTTCTCCTGCACAACCTCCGTGGTAGGCGCAGATTCGCTTGCGGGGGCAGCCAGCGAGCGTCGCGCAGCAGGTTCGATCGGGGCCATCGGGGCCGCGGTCTCGACTTCAGTGCTTTCGAGTTCAGCCTTCTTGCTCTTTTTGCTCTTCTTGGCCTTCTTCTTGCTGACAGGTGACGTAACTTCATCTTCGGCGATGGTAGTCGGCTCTATAGTAGCTGGTTGCTCAGGGTTGACGGTGCGTTCGGCAGAAACAACGGCAGGCGGCTCTTCAGTCAGCGGCGTGGGCTCAGGTAGTAGCTGTTCGCCCCAAGCTTCCATCGCAGATTCCAAAGGAGTCTCAGCAGGTTTGTCTGTTTCAGTTTCAGGCTTGACAGGCTCAGCGGTTACCTGGTCGCCCAGATCCTTTACCGCAGTGTCAACTGGAGCATTGACAGACTTGTCAGCGTCGGCTGCAGGTACATCGAAATCGGGAATCGGTACACTGCTCTTCTTCGCCTTCTTCTCCTTCTTGGTCTTGATGATCTTCTTCTTTGAGGAGCTGGGTTCAACCGCGATTCGGTCATAAGCAGAGCCACCAGACTCGGTCGGGACGAAGTCAGAGATCGTGCTGGTAGGCTTCCCAGCATCAGTGAACAAACCACTTCGACCAAGAGACAATTGTTCCGCAGGCTTCTCTTGAACGATAGTGTCTTTGCTGATCGTTGTGGAGGGCTCATTGGGTGCTGGCATTGATGGGAACGTGAATGAAGGCTTTCCATTGTCGGTGAAGACAGAGGTCTGTGGTGCAACGAACGTGGTTGGTTCTTGTGCCTTTGCAGAGGCCTTATCATCGGTGATCGAGGCAGCTTGCTCAGTAGGTCTTGACACTGATGGGAAAGCGAACGATGGTCTTCCATCATCAGTGAAGAAGCTGCTTCGGGGCGCAACAAACGTAGGCTTCTGCTCTTCCACAACCTCTGCTTCTTTTGCGACCAAAGGAGCTTGCTCGGTAGTCGTAGACGACATCGAAGGGGACGAAAATGAAGGCTTGCCGTCATCTGTGAAGAACGCATTCCGTGGCGAGACGTCAACAGGAGCCGGTGTCTCATTCGCGACGGGAACTTCTCTAGGTGCGACGCTCGACTCAACCACAGGGGCGGGTGACATCTTCGGGAATGTGAACGATGGTTTGCCGTTGTCGGTGAAGAATGCGGTACGCGGGGACACAAACGCAGGGCTCTTTTCCTCTTTGGCAACAGGCGTCTCTTCGGGCTTTGTCGTTGGTTCAGCTGCAGGCGCGGAGGATACCAGGGGGAATGTGAAAGACGGTTTGCCATCGTCGGTGAAGAAGGCAGTAGATGGCGTGGCATCCTCAGATGGCTTTGTAGCCGTCTCTTCAACGACAGGACCGTCCTTGGGAGTCTCAATAGATAGTTCCTGAGGAGCCGCTGATGGCTGAGGAGGGAATGCGAAGGAAGGTTTTCCATCATCAGTGAAGACCGCAGTGGGAGGTGTGACGCTCGAGCCGGCTTCTTCCTTCACAATTTCGCGGGCTGTGGCCTCAGTAGGTCGCTGTGCAGGAACAGATGATCTTCTAGACTCGATCTTCTGCAGCAATTCCGGCTTTGATGTCTCATCCTGCGTTTTCACTCGGGAAATCGAAGGCCTCTTCTCAGACTTAGAACTCTTCCTCTCAGACACAGTTGGTGAGGATGGTTGTGACTTGCGCTTAGCCTCTTCTCTGGCAGCAGCTAGTGCGGCAAGAACGGCAGATTGAGGCTTCGGAGAAGACGGAGGCTCAGATGTTGGCGGCGGTGCCTTCTTCTTGCCCCATCCGATAGCACCCCACAGGCCGGAACCCCACCCTGAACCTGCCGATTGTCCTTCGATCCCAGAGGCTCGGCGGTTTTCTTCGACGGGAGTGTTCTTGGCTTGTTCGGCGCCATCCGCTGTGCTAGGCCGAGCTGGAACCTCTGGTGTGGCAGGCTCAGCTGAAACTTCCGACTTGGGCTCTTCCGGGTTTGCTAGAGTAATAGGTGCAGGCTCTGTCTCTTGTTGGACTGCTTTGTCGGTCGAGGTAGCTGATGGCCCTTCGGGGTTTGCACGAGCAGTAGGTGCAGGCACTGCCTCTTGCGAAATTGCTTCGTCGGTTGAAGCGGTCGGTGTCTCCTCTTGAACCAAGAAGTCCATGACATCGGCCTTGTCATTGGGCTCATCGCGTTCGAAAGATGGCTCGAGGATATCGCGTTCAATGGTGTCTTGCTGCGATTCGGACGAAGGCAAGATCTGGTCATCTTGAGAAGAAACTCCTGGTAGGGTTGCGGGCTCGACCTCGGGCTCGGGCTCAGCTTGCTTGTTGCCGCGTTTACCCTTCTTGTTCTTCTTCGCCTTCTTGGACTTGGGTGTAGTCGCAACTTCCTCCTCGATGACCGGCTCAGGGATTGAGGGTTCAACAGACTTGGAAGAGCTAGGCTCAACCGGCACGTCTTGTGAAGCTTCCACTGTCGCGATAGCTGGATCAGTAGTGATCCCAAGACCCTGCTTTGCCTCTTCGACAGGCTCGATTGACCTAGAGGCTTCTCGAGGAATGTCATCAAAGGTAGCGCGTCTAACCTCGGTCGATTCGTCTTCTCTTGGTGCAGTAGTGTCCAGAACCTTCTGTTGAAAGGCCTTGGAATCCTTAGGTGTACCAACAGGCTCACCAATAAGCGTAGCATCGTCGGTAACGACGGACTCAGACTTATTCTTGACCCAATCTTCCTCGTTGTCAACGAACGTCGTGGCGAAGCTGAAGGAGGGCGATGGCTTAATTATCTCTTCGGGTGATTGAGCTACAGGTGATGGAACCACAGGCGATGGGGCTACGGGAGACTCGGCGGCGACAGGTTCCTTACCCTTCTTGTTCTTCTTGGTCTTCTTGGCCTTACCCTTGCCCTTTGGCGATGATTCGACAACAGCTTCGATAGTTTCGGGCTCGGGTTGCTCTCGCTCAGCAACTGGGCCAGCCTTGTCAGTAGTATCATTTTGCTGAGAACGAGTTGGTGAAGGAGAGCGTTTTCGCAAAGCAGCTGCTGTCAATCCTCCCACTACTGCGCTGAGAGCAGCGTCTTGAAGTCTTGATGAACTGCTTGATGGGGCAGAAATAGTGTCGCGTGATATAGGAACGTCGCGCATCATCTTGTCGTCGAGCGGCGCACTTGTCTCAAGAGGTGTCTCCGCCTGTGGGGAGGTCAAAGTCGACATGAAATCGTCGGTGGACGAATCCTGTTCCTGTGCTCTGGCATGCTCCAGTGCCGCAGTAAGCGATTCATAGTTTGGACCGCTAGACGGTGCCGAAGCTTCCTGGGCACCTGTGAAGTAGTCAGAGGCCTTGGGCGTAGCTTGACCAGATTCCTCGACTTCTTCAATCTCACGATGTGCAAGCTCGGGATGCTGAAGCTCTGGTCCATGGCTGGGCGAAATGAGGTCGGCTACGGCACTCAAAGGATCGAAAGATGGATCATAAGATGACTGTCCAGCACTCTCATAAGGTGACTCTAGAGCGGACTCGAACTCTTCTTCTGAATCCGCCCCGGAGACTACTGAAGAGGCACTACTGGGTGGAAGCGCTGGCAACACCTCATCGATCTCATTGGATTTGCGGTTGCGCTCCACCAGATACAAAGGTCGGAACTCTCGAGAGTTCCTAAACTCTGTAGAGTGCGTCTTGCCATGGCGAGAACGAGTTGGTGAAGGACCAGGAAGAGGATCAGCTGCTAAGCTAGGGTCAACGGTAGAGGGTATAACGGGCTTGCGGAAGCGTATGGGGACTGCCGTTGAAGATAGTCGACGTTGAGATATCGCAGTCGAAGGACGTGTGACGTCTGGCGATCGGGTTGGCGAACCTGGCCTAGACAGCGGCAGCGGAGGTAGCTCATCGGGAAAAGCTTCCAGCTGCCAAGGCTGAAGACCGGTGAGGCGGGTTAGTAGCGCGCGGCTGTCTTCGAACGATAGTTCGGGTGGTAGATCGTTGTCTCCAGAGGCGGTGAAGCGTTGGGCGTCGTCGGGTGTCGAAAGAGGAAACTCGGCCCGATCTCCAAGGATTATGCCACTACCCTCGTGGGCCTGATCGGCAGGCTCACTTACGGGCAGTGGACTTGGAGTGGCTGTGGTCACTGCCCGATCGCCTAAAAAAGACTGCTGTTGTGGTTGTGGCTGTTCATCGGCATGCGAGGGCGGGGTTCGAGGTTGTAAGAGATCCTATAAACACGACATCAACATTCATTCTAAATACATTGCGAACAACGGTGCTATCGCACATGAGAAGAGCGATGTACCTTGTCATCATAAGCATCCGTCCTGTCTCCATCCCCTCTCTCGCTACGACTGCGGCTGCTCCTCTTTTCGCGTCGACTACTGGTCGAGATCGTGGAGCGCATGTCGTCATCGTCTGAGCCGCCGTAGGTAGAACCGCGATCCGACCGATGCTTCCGTCTACGATGTTTGCGTTCTTCATCGTCGTCGTCTCTAGATTTTGAGGACTTGCTTGAAGCTTCATTCAAGTTCTCCCTCGACTTGCTGCTGAAAAGGCCCAGGAAGCCACTTGGGCGTTTCTCCTTCTCTCTCTTCGAGCTGCGATCCTCGTCTAAATCCGGGATAGAGGACACGACTGAAACCATGTCATCGTCTCGTTTGGATCGTCTCCGGGAGGACTTGCGATCATCATCGTAGTCGCCGAGTTCGGAAGCTGCTGACGAGCGTGATCTAGTCTTAGTCTCGGGTGATGCGTCTCTGTCCCCATCCCTTCTCCTGTGCTTGCGTCGTCGCTCGCCAGTCTCGGAGATGGCGGATTTCGTGTCCCAGTCGTCAGCGCCCTCATCAGCCTCGTGGCGGCGATGTCTTCGCCTCCGTTCACCACCCTCTTCAAGATCGTAACCGCGGTCATGGCTCTTCTCACGTGTCTCTGACCTGGCTTCGCGACGTCTACGGCGTCTCTCCTCGCGGTCGGGGTCGTCGTACTTGTAGCTCAGAGAAGCGATTGAGCCCACATCGTCATCATCGTACCTGCGTGGTCTGTCGTCGAAGTCATCATCGTATCTGTCATCGACATCCTGGTCACGATCGTGCCGTGAGTGCCTGTCCTTCGCCTCCTCGTTGAAGTCTGCAGGATAGAATCCATTCGATTCTTTTTCGTTACCCGCCCTGCTCGGCACATCGTCGGGAGCATAATAACCAGAGTCAGTTACGTTACGAGCAGTGACGGGATCAGGTGCCGCTGTGAACGGCGCCGCGGTGGGAACCTTTGGGGCCTCGACCATCGTTTGGTATCTGGAGGGATCGGAAATAGTGCGGGCGTTTATATAGTCGTCATACGTCGTCTCGGTCCTGAGAGGAGAACTGATGCTAGGTGACCATTTGCCACTGCTGTGTCTTTTCTGGACTTTCGGCCTGGGTGTCTTATCGGCCAGCTCGTCAACGCCCTCGAATGCGTAGCTTGGGATTGTCACATTCTTCTCATGACGTTCGAGTGCACGTGCGCCATTCGGTGGAGATACAGGAGAGTCGCGTGAATGGTGCTTCTCTGTGGACTCAAGATCCTTCCTGGCACGCTCGGCATCCGAAGCCATCCTGTTTTGATCCTGGTTCATGGTCATGCCCATCAGAGCAGCGAAACCACCGGCCATGGCAGCGGTGGAGGCTTTACTGCCGCTGCTCTCACCTTGTCGCGCGGGTTTCTTCGGAGGACTGGTGGACTCTTGGAATGCTTCTCCTAGACGTGGTGGTTCAACGGATGGAGATGGCTCAGTTGAGCGAGAAGAGTCGGCGAAACGTGAGTTTTCGGCAGATCGAGAGGGCTCAATATCCCTGGGATCTCGGGAGGGCTCAATGTCCCTAGGATCGCGGTCGATGATCGGGCTGGACGGCGGACTGGGATCACTCATCTCCCAAGTGTCCACACTGGCTCGCTTGGATGACTTGGACTTCTTCTTCTTGTCCTTCTTTTCCTTCTTGCTGAGCTTGGCCTCTGGCTCGGCTTCCCTCTCTTTCACTGTCGGTGTTGGTTCTCCACGTCGAGAAACATTCTGCATAGCTACAACTTCGTCAGTATCATTAGCCTTGTTCTTACCCTTTGTGTCCTTCTTCGAGGACGATACTGGAGGCTGCTCTGCAAGCACCTCAGGGTCAGGTATGTCGTCCCAGCCGCCGGGCATGTGCATCGACACTGGCGGTGTGGGAATCTCGCCTTCAACAAAGCCGGGTCCCACTGTAGTCTGTTGGGGCGCCCTCCACGCGTCTCGCTCTGGCTCAGGCTGCCAGTATGCCGTCTGAACGCTGCTCGTAGATGGCACAGCTGAGATGATGGAAGGAGTGACTGTGGAAGATGGGGCAGCTGAGATAATCGATGGAGCGATAGTTGATGGGGCCCTGTTTCCATCGGAAAACGGGTTGCTCAGGGAAGACGCAGTCGGATTGCTGAACCCAGCTGCAGTTGCATTGCTGACGGCAGTGCTCACGGTAGACGCAGTTGGATCGCTGAAATCATACGAAGTCGCACTGCTGAGATTGGACGCAGTCGGGTTGCTCAGGGCAGATGCAGTCGGATTGTCGCGTCTGAAGCTACGCTCGTCCTCTTGATCTCGCTGATCTCGGGAAAGAATCGCTGCGGTTGTCAGTGCTGCTGCTGCTGCTGCAGCAGCAGACTTCTTCTCCTTCTTGTTGCTCTTCTTAGAAGCAGCATCTACGACACTGTCCCAGCTAGAGTCCTTCTCCTCCCGAATGTACTGTGTGCTTGGTGCAGTATCCTTGCTCTCAAGGACTCTGGACATCTCGGGGCGGTAGGGTGTGTATGTGGAAGTTGTCTGTTCGGGCTTGGGCGACTCGCGCTCGACCGTGGCTTCACGCGACTTGAGATCGCCATCTGAGACGAATTGCTCCCGGTAGGATTCCGGCGTAGGGACGTCAAAGTGGTGGAACTGGTTCTCGCCCCAGCTTACCCTAGACCTTGCTCGGTTCGATTCGTCATCTCTTGGCTCGCGTCTTGTCTCTCTAACCTCTCTGATGGGCTCCATTGCTGGCGACGGAGGGGCAGATGCACTGCGCACGGAAGGCGTGCGACTACCGGGAGGAGTAGGCAAGATGAGGTTCAACGATGGGACTGGCGGTGGCGGTTGTGGTTGAGAAGATCGGCCATTTCTGGTGGCGGTGAATGCGTACGATGGAGGATAAGGAGGGACCTTGGGTTGGCTGACAGGATAGTCTTCCCAAGATTGGTAGACGGGGAGGTCTGGAGCACCCTCGTTCGGGTCTACTGGGCGGACCTTGGGCAGGTTGTCGTTGGCCAAGAGCTCTTCCGGTGCGAAGAATTCAGCTTGAGATACTGGCTTAGCATAGTACCTCTGTTCCCAATCTTGTAGGACTTCGCGAGCTTCTTGCCTTGAATTGTCCTTCTGCTTGAACATATCGGGATTGAAGATGTCTTCGTCAAAAATGTCCTGCTTGACTTTGCTGGGCTCGATAGTCTTGACGCTGGTTGGCTCCCGCTTCTTGCTACTCTTCGAGGATGAAGATTCACTCTTGCTGCTCTTCGACGAAGATGACTCATTCTTGCTGCGCTTCCAGGAGGAGGATTCGCTTTTGCTGCTCTTCGTTGAAGAAGATGACTTGCTGTCGCGCTTCTTCTCGCGCTCCCTCTCCTTCTCCTTGTCCTTGTTGTCCTTGTAGTCCTTGATCGCGGCAGTTGCGATTGCTGCAGCAGCACCAGCAGCTACAGCGCCAGCAACGGAAGACTTCTTGTCAGACTTGAAAGCCTCCCGTTCGCGGTCTTGCAGCTCCTGCTCCTTGCGTTGTACAACAGTGGCAGTCGAAGCCATTGAATCTCCTGTTGGCTGCTGTTCAAGTTTCCGAGCTCGGTCGTTCTCGTATCGGTCGGTGTAGTCCTGAGCTTCGCGTTCCCTGCGTCGGCGCTCCATGTCCTCTTGAATCTCAGCTTCGCGTCTCGCGGCATCGAGACGCTCAGCTTCTTGTTGTTGAGATTCACGTCGCTCTCTCCGTTTCCGCTCTGCCTCCGCGGCCTCAATGGCAAGCTGACGCTGGTGCTCCATTTGAGACATTCGTTGATGACGCTCCCGATCTTCGGCTTCTCGAGCGAGGCGTGCCTGAACCTCTTGTTGTTCGCGACGGCGTTCGTTCTCGAGCCTCGCCAAGCGTTCGATGTCCATGAACTTGCGAGCCTCCTCCTGCTGCCGTTGCAGCTCCAGGCGACGTCGCTCGTCTTCGTCTCGGCGTCGCGCTTCTTCTTGGCGTGTCGTTTCCTCTAAACGGAGCAATGTCTGCCGACGGTCTTCTTCAATCCGTCGAGCCTCATCCTCTTGTAGCTGCCGTTCTCTGCGCAGGCGATCCTCTTCCTCACGGAGCACAAGTGCCGCTCGTCGGGCCTCTTCCTCTTGTCGTAGCTGCTCTCGACGTACTCGGTCTTCCTCTTCCCGACGGGCCTCATCGTCGCGTCTCTGTTGTTCCCGGCGACGCTCGGCCTCCTCGTCTAGTCGCTCCTGCTCCTTACGTCGCTCACGGAGGTCCTTCTCTGCCTGCTCTTGTGTCAGATTAAAGCGAACATTGCTAGATGCGGACGGCGGTCGGCTTGGAGGGCGGTCGGGGTGTTTCAGCGCAGAAACTGCTGCAAATCCGGCAGTCGCTGCAAGTCCAGCAATAGACGCGTCTCGCTTCCATGACGAGCTTTGGATGGGAGAAGAGTTTGCCCGACGGAATGCAGGATGCTGAGGACTTTGAATGATAATGTTCTGAACTTGAGACTGGGTGGGGTACGGAGGTGGGTAAGGTGCTGGTGGGAAGTCTGAAGGACCTGCTGAGGTGGTGTACCCAGATTGTGATGGTGCTTGTGTTGAGTAGATGGCGCCGGGGACTTGTTGCACTGGCTGAGGGTGTTGAATAGGGATGGGACCAGGTCCTGAGGTGACAATAGGCTGGTTGGTGACGATGGAGCTTGTACGGCGTGCATCGAACGACGCATTGGGGTCATGGGGTGCAACGGGATAGACCGACTGCAATGTTTGGGCGCTGCTAGACTCGCTGTCGTGGTGTCCGTGGGCAGCTCCAACAGCTGCGCCAGTCAAGGCACCTGCAGCGCCCGCTGCGGCAGGCCCAAGGAGCGACGTACTGGCGATGTTGTCATAGAGATTGTTCGAAGACCTTCTCTTTTTGCCAAAGCCCCATCGCCAGCCCCATTTGTTCGTACCTGAGTGGTTGGATCCGACTGACTCGTTGCTCTTGGTTTTCTTCAGGGAGTAATCACCGTATACGAGACCCCCATCGCTCGATGAGTCGGAGGTACCATCGTCCGGCAAGTCCTCCCACTCGTCGTCTCCATAACGCGAGCCGGGTCGTGACGTTTGACTGGCCTTGCGACCGAGACGGTTCTCCTTGACCGCGACAACCTCGTTGTGGCGTTTGCCTTTGCCGGCTTTCGCGGCTGTGATAGCAGCAGCCGTAGCGCCGAGACCAATCAGCGAGGCTTTCAATCGCTCATCGGAGTTTCGTCTCTTCGGCGATGATCGTCTGCGCGTCCTCCTTACGTAGCCGGTGCCGAATGCCATCTCGGAGTCGGATGAAGACGTTGAAGCGTTGCTGAAGCTGAAGAAGCCCTTCTTCTTCTTCTTCAGACTATTGGTTGTCTTCACTCGCTTCTCCTTTGGCGGAGGTGCAGAGAAGAAGCCTCCAAGGAAGCCACCCTGGGGCTCGTGAGTCTGGCCAATCTCGATGACAGAAGCTCCGGATGTTGAGCTTCGAGATGCCTTGTGTCGGAGTTGATGGGATCTCCTCCTACGACGCTCATCGTCACTGCTGTCTCTCCGGTGATGAACCACCTGAACCCTCTTCGGCGACCTGGATCGGCTGTGTTGCTTCTTCTTTGTGGCCGCTCCAAGGGCGACGCCTGCAAGACCTGCACCAATGGCAGTACCGATCAGACCCGTCTTGCCACGTCCGGAGTTGGAACTTGAGGTTGAGCTTGATCGGGAACGGCGTGATCGAGACTGACGGCGAACAACCTTGTGATCCTTACGGTCCTTTTTGTCGTTCGTAACGCCTACTGACATGACGGAGATGCGGTCGGCAGAATTGCTTCGGTGGCGGATGCCAGAGCTACCATAGCTATAACTCTTGCGATCCCCTGATCTGCTACGGCTGTGTCGTGAAACCCTTGACCGACCGGACTTGATGCTGTATGTGTCGTCAAAGTCGTCGCGGCCCGCGCTGAAGACAGCCTTTCCAGCCTTGGCCAAGCCAATGCCGCCCAGGCCTGCAGCTACCCAGCCTGCGGCACTGCTCTTGTTCTTGCGACGCTCCTCGCCTGAAGAGATTGAGCCCCACGACTTCTTCTCCTTGAGCGAGTATCGAGATTGCTTCTCAATGCCACCAGTGGGTCGCATAAACTCATTGGAACGCCGTTTGTAGTAGTGGTGCTTCCGTGGAGCGTCCAGAACGGAAGAGCGAGGGTCAAAGCAACCCTTGCAAACTCCGATGTACTCGGTGTACTCTTCCATCTTCTGCACATCTTCGTAGTCTTTCCACCAGTCGACAAACTTGGAAACAGGCCCAGTGTGCTGATGCTGGTGAGCCATGCCACCTGAGATGTATGGACTGGGTGTGAGGCCATTGTGATGATGTCCGTTGGGACCGTGCGTCGAGGAATGATGGTGTGAGGTGCTATGCGAGTGGGTGTGGGTGTTGGAGTGGGTGTGTGAATGTGAATTGTGTTGGTGTAAGCCATAAGCGGCCAGTCCCGCGGCACCGGCAGCGTACAGTCCAGCAATGCTGCCAGACGAGTGCTTCTCTGGCTTGGCAGGCCGAGGTGGCTTTGGTGGAGGCGCGCCTTCCACGCCGTAGGTGGCGGCTGCAGCATAGGGTGGGAGGTAGCTGCCGTCGTTGGCAGCGGTATTAGAAGCATTAGATCCCGGGCCGTACATGTTGTACGTGGAAGCCGGAGCAGCCGGGGGGGTATTATTAGTATAAGAAGAGTATGATGTAGAAGGACGAACATTCGATGAGCTGTAGCTCGTAGAGTGTTCGTGATTAGAGGAGCTGTGGCCCATGGCATATCCAAGGGCAGCTCCGCCGGCCGCAGTAGCAGCTGGGCCAAAGGTGCTGGACTTGTTGGGTCTCGATGAAGATGCGGGCCGCGGTGGCTTCTGAGGCGTCGGGGCGTCGTCGATGAAGGCACCGGGCATGGACGAGCTCGATGGTCGTGGGGGTTTGGACGAAGAGGCATTCGTGCTGGGCCCGTAGAAGTCTGCAGCGGCGCCCGATCCGGTGTCGGCAACGGGATTGGGCTGCGCGGAGGCAGACATGAGATGGGGGGTATCCTGTCCTATGATGACAGAGGGCGGCTGGGGCCTCACGCCAGGCTGCTGGTGCACAGACTGGCCATGGTCGTTGTAGAAGTCGGCAGCCGCTCCAAACGGATGGCCGCCAGGCAGCGCGCTCGAGGTGTATTGCAGAGGGTCCTGGCCGGGGAACTGGCTCTGCACGTGACTGTCCATGTCGTCGGGGTGTGGTGGGTGGCTTCCTACTGGCAGAGCGCCCGACATCATGGGCGCTCCTGCCTGTCCTGGGAACTGAGAGAAGCCGTCGCTGCCAATCTGGCCGCTGAAGCTGCGCTGGACCGACTTGGGACTGTCAACAATCTCGCCCCTGTAGCCGGCGCCAGTTTGCGACAAGCTGCCGGACCGCACTGAGCGCGTCGAGCGGCGCTTCTCGAGCTTCTTGTCCTTGGCCTTGCCCGTCTTGCGGTCCTTGTCGTCGCGCAGTGTCGAGCTGGACGACTCGGCATAGCTGCTGCGGCGATCGTCGCGACGCTTGTTGTCGTCGTCGTAGGGATCGCTGGTGTTGTTTGTTGTGGCCCGTGGGCGCGGCATCTCGTCGAAGGCAGTCGTGAAGGAGGCAATCGAGGACGCGGAAGGCGCAGAGTCACGTTTGGATGTCGATGGCTTGCGCGTCGTCGACGATGACACGATGGAGCGGGCGTCTGGGTCGCGCTTGGAACGCGTTGAGTCGCTAGTACGGCGGCGGCGACTTTCCTCGTCCTTGTTGCTGTTGGAGGCAGCAGAGCTACCAGTCAATCTGCTCCACATGATGGTGGAGGACTGCAGTCAGGATCGCGGGGGCGCGGATGCGTTGTTATTACAAAGTAGTGCTGGCAATGGGTCGGGCGCAAATGAGATGAGTCTCTTGGTGGGATATGCTGGGTATATCGCTGTAGACAGTCGCAAGTGAGAGAGAATCGTTCAAATCGTCATGTCGTGATGATATAGTACAGTTTTCCGATGCAGAATGGCTAGGAAAGTATGCGCGCAATGCCCAAGGACAACCAAAGCAGCCTCTCGCGGTACTAATCGCAAAGATTGGTGTGGTGCAGAGCAGCTGAAGTGCTCGGCTTGGGACGTAAGCCCCAGCAACCGAGTGAGCTGGCGGCAAGGGTTAGCTCGATCCACACGGGATGGAGGCGAGGCTGGGCCAATAGCTGCCCGATGGCAAACGCTTCTTCTGCGGATCTTTACCGGGGCTTCTTCCGGGGCTGTTCTCGCTGTCATCGAGAACATGTTGATCAAAGTGAACTGTGCAGGCTGGGGCGCAGAAATCTAGTCTTGTGGTTCTAGTAGTTAGTTGTAGTCCTTGCTGCGCGTTGCAAGCTCCTCCCTCAAGCTTCACCTGGCAAAGTCAAGGCATGCGGAGATTTCCGAGGCCATCAGTGTAGTTATCTTGCATGTTCAATGTTGGTTAGGCCGCCGAAATCTTTAAACCCGATCGTTGATAGTCAAACATCACCCAGTCGCATCGACAAGGATTATCACAAAAACAAGGCGCGCGTGTGACATTGAATCCATTTTTGCATTAATCAGGCTTGTGCGACCTGTGTACATCTATTCGCGACTGTGCTATGCAGCCCTTCTAAAGAGCCACTCATTACGCTCCACATGTTCCTTCAACGTTTCTGCACGTCCAATCCGTCATCATCTGCATAGCCTAAGTCGTCCGAGTCAAATTCGGAGTCTGATGATCCATCCATAGCACGACCCATCATTTCCCAGGTCTCCCTTTCTTCTGGGAGAGTATTCATGCTATACAAACCATAGGCGAACATGGCTTTTTTCAAGCACTGCGCCCTTGAGCAGCGATGGGGATATACCATGATTTCCAGTAAGCTCCGTGCGATGAGATCAGGTTGTGTTGTGCTCTTTCCTACGTCGCGTAGTATGCAGCAAAGGACCTCTGTACCCCGCTTGTGGAACAAGCAGTCTTTCACAGCAAGACCAAGGCAGACTTTCTGCTTCTTATAAAGCTGCTGGAAGTCTCGGCGTAACTAGGGCCGCCCGCCAGCCATCAACATCTGCCGTATTTGCAGGATTTGGGCACGGTGCTCTGGTGCCAGTTGATCAATCTGCTGCTGCGACAGAGCCATGACTTGGGCATACAGCGCCTGCTGGTCCATTCCAGGCGCTTGTGGCTGTTGTTGTTGTGGAGGCTGCGCGTACGGCTGTGCGACGGGAGGTTGGGGAGGTGTAGGCGCGACTTGTGGTGGGTATCCGGGGTAGTTCACAGGCGGTCGCGCGACTTGCGGTGGTGGCTGCTGTACTTGCTGAACAGGTGGAGCCTGCGCGACTGGGGCAGGCGCGGCCGATGTCTCCACAAGCGAGGTCAGGATTTGTGGGTCGACCAGCTGGAGGAGCAGCAGCGACTGAAAGATGGCATAGGCCAGCTGGGGCGCTTGTCGCAGCAGCTCCGTCGCCTTGGCGGGATCCGTCATGACGAGGCCTTTCATCTGTGAGAGGATGTCGAGGAGCTGATCGGGAGGGAGCGTGGAGAGCGTGCGCGAGATGGCATCGGGACAGGTGAGGTTGGGCGGCAGCTCGACGCCTGGTGGAAGAGGACCCAGCGCGCTCGACGGTTGCGCCGGTGCTGGTGCTGCTGGTTGTTGGCCGTTCACGCCCATGGCTGGTTGTGTGGTCTGGTCGCGATTGGAAGGCGCGTTGTCGCCGGAGCCGCTTTCGTTGGACCAGTCGACCCTCAGCTTCCTGCCCATCAAATCGAAGTCGTTGAGGTTACGCACGGCCGAGGCTGCGGCGTCAGCGTCGGCGAACTCTGCGAACCCAAAGCCCTTGGGGCGCCCTGTTTCCTTGTCGTATACCAAGCGAAAGTTGAGGACCTGTCCGACGCGCCCGAGGGTTTCGATGATGAGCTCTTCAGTGCCGCCTAGGTTTTGTTAGCTTGGTTTAAAGAATACACTGGGATTAAAAAGGCAGCTCTGGTAGGTCTGACGTCGATGTAGGCTCCAGGGTGTCGCATACCGTAGGGAATGTTGCCGATGAAAACAACTCTGCCTGCTTTGTCGTTGGGCGCCATCGCTGTGCAGACTCGATATTGATGAAAGGAGTGTTTGCTGGGTGAATGAGTGTAGAGGTTTTATGGGAGGATCGAGTGAGTGGATCTTTGAGGCTTCCAAGGTTCCGCGAGGCATGAGCTTTGGACCGTGACTAGCGCGACTTTAGGCTTGGCGCGTCTTGCCCGCTGCCCAGATGAGCAGGCACACGACCAACTCTTCCCTCGGAAATGGTTCGTCCATAAGTTGAACGCATCTTACTATATTCACATTCTTTTCCATGCTCATAGCTTTGCATCGATATCGATCTTGGCTCTGGACGATTACATGGTATCTCATAAATTATTTTCGCAGTATTTCGTGATGATGTTCAATTCGTGAGAACTACAGCTCTACAACTTTGCCGCGGACGGCGCACAACACGTACCATCCTCACCAATCGTCGCAGTAACACTAGCCTGTTGGTGCTGCTCACTCAACAAGCTGCTCTTGTTGAAGGCCTGCTCACTCGGCGGTACATCCAGCGCAGGGTTCTTATCGAAGAAGTTGACCGGCTTCATGTGGATCTTGATAATTTCGCAAGGCATAACGGGGAAGTCCTCAATACGAGGCACGTGGTTGATGCCCGCTTGGATGTAGACGACAAAGTCAGTGTCCTTGACGTTGTCGTTCCTTTCCGCCCAACTCCGCACGCCCGTTCCACCACGACTCTGGTTGGTGTAGGTACCGCCTGCGTACAATTCACCGTCCTTGTGTTTGACGACGTAGATGTTGTGGTCGGAGAATTCGGCGCGCTTGTAGTTGAAAGAGTCCTTATCGGAGAGAATCTTTTGGAACGGCGGCGCTTGAATCTTGTATGCGACTGGCTTTCCGTTGACGGGGTTTCGCACGTTCGGGTTCTGAATCTTGAAGGTGCGGTTGTTCTCGTATGCGATGTCGTAGCCACCGGACTTGTCTACCACGGTCTCTTGGATGTAGTAACCAGTTCCGTGAGGATTGAAGTCTGAGCGCGGCATCGGGAACGCCTCGTCGTACACGAGTCTGTTGTCATACCCGTCTATCATGGGGTCGACGCGTAGTGAGAAAATATGTTGGTGATGGACGGCAAGTACACCGGGGTGCACGACTGTACCGAAGGGCACTTCGACACCTTCGTCGATAGGCTGTGTGCTCAGGATGCCGGTAGCCCTGATTTCGTAATCGACTTCTCCAGCCTGGTTGAAGATGAAGGCCAGGATGTACTCGTAATTGGCCACGGTGATGATGCTCTGGAGCACCAACTCCCGGTTCCGAGCGACAACTGCGCGGCCGGTGCGGTAGTTGGTGTGCTTGAAACCGATTCCAGCATCTTGCTCGTGGACGCACACCACGTTGGGCATTTCCACAGACCCACCGTGGTTGTCGGCTAGTACGGCTGAGAGATAGTAGATGGAACCCAGACAGTCGCAGCCCAGCTTGAGGTTGTTCGCCATGATACCAGCACCAACATCGCCCAAGTCGAACGCGCTCTTCTTGTGATAGGGATGACGGGGGTCCGCGTATGGGATATTCATATCGCTCAGACTCATTCGATAGAACAAACTGCGGTTGTCGTAACGGACATCGTACAATACCATACCCTCGCGCTGGTTGAACCCAACGCGGAAGTTCCATTTTTGCCATGAGATGACGTTCGATGTACCTTGCTGTTCGACTTGGAAGCTAGCACCTTCTGGTTGAACAACATTAAGCGGCTTAAGATCGGTCCGCAGTTGTTGGGCCTCGGGTATGTATTCGTTGGGCGGTTGGATCTTGTATTTCTCAATTGGCTTGATGGTATTGTCTGCGCCAGTCGGTAGCAAGTCAACGCGAATGACCTCCATCTTCTCTGTGCTCACGACGGGTGAGATGGGAAGTGGCATTGCGTAGTGGTTGGAGTCGGCTTCTGATGAATTCATCGGGTCCCTGAGGTACAGGAAGCATTGCCACAGCCTATCCTCATCTCCAACGCCATCGGACCCGTAGATCCATGGGTCGCTGATTACTACTGTGCCTTCAGGGAGCTCGAGCTTGGCAATCTCCGCTTGTACTTTCTTATCGGTCAGGACGAGTTTCTCGATAGCGACGATTTCGTCGCCGTCCGCATTGGCGTGGACAAAGGGCCCAAGGAGAACGTTGCGATCTACGCGACGTGAGGTCAAGTCTACAACAGCCTCATGGAATTTGCTCTACCGACTAATTAGCTGCAATCTTCCTTACAGATTCCATACACGTACGGTGTTCCGGATGTAGTAGTTGACGAAAGCTTTTCTTGGAATTGATGGTAGTGTTTTGCCGCTATGCTCAGCCTCCAAGTACTTCAATACTTCGACTTTTGGTGGTTCCTGCAGCGTCACGACCTTGAAGTGCAGGTCTGTGTGCGCCGGCCATGAAGCTTTGATGATCGCCGCAGCATCTTGAAGTTCTGATGCCGATAGCGGGGAGAGCGGATGTGCAGATACCGATTTCTCGCTCCGCGGACTAGGATCAGTGGCAACTTCTGCGGACATTGTCTCGAGATATGTGCAATGAAAATACACTTAATAGATGAAGAGATGAAGGATGACAGCCTTGGAGTAGAAGGAGTGGTCTCTGGAAGATATGGATTATAACGCTCGAACTGCCGCCCAACGCTGTTGCCCTAACACAGCATCCGATGTGATAAGACTGTGGATCTGGCGTATCTTCGTACAGTTTTCGCATGGACTTTCCGGGTCAGTACTAGGCGCATGTCGATGGCGATGCGACGAGGCAACGGGATCACGTGTTGTACCCCGCTTCCTGAGGTTCCAACCTTGGAAGTCACTCCCATGCTCTCAACGTGGCAAGCCTCCAGCGAATACTCTCGAGCTGTGCGATTCGAGGCCTCATGCGAATTCTCTTGGTCCGATAACGACACTCCAGGCAAGTATGTTGAATGAAGCTCTACCTAGGCATCTAGCGCTGTCGCAGAAGCCAGGTATACCTAGGAACTACACCTGGGCAAGCGCGTATCTTCCAAAGAATTTTGAAGCTGATGCGTAACCTTCCTTGATACTTAGGGGTATAAATCCTTCTTCAGGGCTTCTAACGTAGCCTGTACGGCGCAAAGAGATTTTATGTCTGGCTTGCGCGACAGAGTGATGTTCGCAGGGGGCTGGGCCTCACCAAACGCGTCTGCTAGACTGCTCCGGTGACGCGCCCTCACCTGCGATCTCTTCAGCACTACAACCATCACCATGCTGGAGATCTAGCTATATCTCGCAACAAAATGAACATAATATGCGATAGCGAACTCTGGAACTCACTTCTAGAAAACTCATGTCCACACTACTAGCCTGGCTCAGGAAGAGCGGCCCCAACTTCAGATCCACAGGGCAAGCGAGCAATCCTTTGATTTCCACACTTGCTTTTGTTCAAGTTCGCGACAAGAGATGGGAAATTGACTAGCCACCCGCCGCCCGCCATATCGATCACTCGATCGAACTCAGAGAAACGATTGGGCCTGCATGTGCAAGACCTTGCACGAAACCTTGGAAACCTTTCAGCAGCAGTAATGTACAAGTTCTCAGGTCCCTGTTTCAAGCGATAGAGGTTGTGGCAATCATCACCTCGTTTGTCGTTCGGCACCTCGTTGCGTCGACTGCATGACTCGGCATGAAACATCAACGCCGTTGCGAGTCGTTCGCACAAACAACAACACCTCAGACGTTCAGACAAGACTCATATTTTGCCGTAGTACACCGGTGTACATGTGTGAGAACCAGTTTTGGTGGACATTGTGGATCGGTGTTGTTTCCTTTTTCTTCGCATCGCCTCGAGTTCCGCCCTAGCTTGGACCATGGTCATTAAAAACATATTACCCCAGATATTAATCTACATCAGGCATCCAGTGTTGGCACAGTTCCAGCAAATGCGCCAGTCTCTAGCTCCGACGGATAGAACCCACAGTCGTCGGCACATGCGCTTTTCCTATTCGCCGGGTATGCATATTTCGTGCATGCATGACCAATACCTGCAGTCCTGCATGTCAAGCCCCCATACTCGCGATATTACCTGCCATACCATCACTTGTTCGCCTCGTCGAAGGCTGTCACAAGGTCGTTCCAGAAGGAAAATTCTACGAACAACCACCGGCAATGAGTATCCACACTCCACCTCACGTCCCGGGTTCTTTGCCGCCTTGCAGTACCCATCGTGCCTGTCCTGTGACGTTTCTTCATTTCGAGTTTCATGCTTGGGCCAATCATGGCTTGACGTTTACCCTCTCTGGCCATGTCCTGCGTGCTGCAATATGGAGTGGTATCCATTCGTGGCGTTGTATCTGTGAGGAAGAACATATATAATAACCGGGGACTTTGCTCTCGTATTCTCTACCAAGATCATCAGCACCTTCAAGATCATTCGTTATCCTCCTCAGTCTCTCACTTACCAATCTCACATCATGAAGTGCATTGCTATCGCCACCGCCGTTGCGGCCTTTGCCAACGTTGCCTCGGGTCACTGTATGGCACTTCACTCAACCTGCTCCAGCATATACTAACAGGCACAAGACATCTTCCAACAGCTCACCGCCAACGGTGTGAAGGGTGCTCAATTCCAGAACATCAGGTAAGTTCCTCTCCATGGCCGCAATGCCCCTGAGACAGACACTGACTTTGCATCTTCAAGGCCCGTTCCCAACAACAGCCCCGTCACCGACCTTGCGGACAAGAACTTGCGATGCAATGCTGGAGGTAACTCGGGCAGCGGTACCACCACTGTCTCGGTTGCTGCTGGCTCCACCGTCTCCTTCACTGCCGACCAGGCCGTCTACCACCAAGGTCCCGTTACCTTCTACATGACCAAGGTCGACTCGGCCGCCGCCGCCGATGGCTCTACCGACTGGTTCAAGATCAAGGAGATTGGACCCAACTTCTCTGGTGGCCAGGCCACATGGGACATGAGTGGTATGTGGCTCCTCAACACCGCACTGGAACTTACCTAACACTATCATAGCTACCTACTCCACCACCATTCCCTCCCAGATCCCCGCTGGAGAGTACCTCCTCCGCATCGAGCAGCTCGGCATCCACAACCCCGGCAGCCCGCCCCAGTTCTACATCTCTTGCGCTCAGGTCAAGGTCACTGGCGGCGGCTCCGGCAAGCCCTCTCCTACCACCAAGATTCCTGGCCACGTTAAGAGCACCGACTCCGGCTACACCGCGAACATCTACTCCAACTTCAAGTCCTACGTTGTTCCCGGCCCTAAGGTCGCTACCTACTAGATGTAGGTTGCTTCGGATATGCGATGGATTGGGCGCTAGGATCGTCTTCTCGCAATCACATTGAAGCCTGATTGGCTTCATTCTACTTCTATGTATATACCTATAGCATGAAACCTGCGCACTGTTGCAGTTCCCTGACTTCGCTTGCATTCTTGATCTTCTCTTTTAGCTATGTATCACTTCAGCACAAATCACTCGCCAGTATGTGATCCCAGAACTTGTATCGCATCCAAAAATCTCAATGTGATACGAATGTTCTCATTGCAGACACTGCAAGCATCCTTCGGTAACTATACTACCCACTTTCTCCACCACGAGAGATTTTGTTCCACTGAGTTCAAGATTTCCGCCTTCTCGTGATCGACATCAGCAATCTCCGACAGGTCAACGTCTTGCAAAGCAATGATTCCTGACCTTGCATAGCAGAAACCAGCAACCCACAGAAAGATGAAGATGGCTATATCGACGTAATACGTGAGAAAGGTGCCTACGCTCCAACGGCCAGGAAAGAAAACGCTGTATCCTGAGAATAAGATGACAAGGACGAGTGCGCCCCCGGTGACCCAGGCGAGGTATGGCTGAAAGGGACTCTTGTATGCGAGTCCTGGTAATATTAGCATAATGTTTCGCAAAGCGAATGGTGGTAAACTTACGGTCTCGACTGATACCTTGAACTTTCAATGCGTAGTAGAATCTCAGGTACGTGACCTCGATTACAAGCCACCCAATCAGGCCAGCAATGGTTGTAATGTTGACGAACCATCCGAACACGACGGATGAGTTACTCCCCAGACTAAGATAGACAAGTGGCATAAAGATCAGAGAAGCTCCTATTGCCAAGTATGGTGTTCCAAACCGGTTTGTGCGAAGCAAGACTCGGGGGGCCTGTCCGTCCTCGGCTAGCCCGTACAGCGTGCGTGATGCAAGGAAGACGCATGCAGAGCCACAGCTGAAGGCCGAAGTACATACTATGGCGTTGATGATTGAGGGTAGGACATTGATACCAGCGCGCTGGAATGCGATGACGAAAGGACTCTGCTGAGCATCCCCAGTAGATATGCCAAGGTTCGGGTCGTTGAACGGTACAAGCATGCCAACGATGAAGATGCTGACTACATAGAAGATGAGTACTCTCCAGAACGTCATCCGAATCGCATTCGGGATGATGACCCTTGGGTTCCTTGTCTCGGCGCCAGCGATGGCGACCACCTGGATGTTTGCGTAGCTGTAGGCTGCTGAGATCAAGGAGCTCCAGAACCCGAGGAACTTGCCAGTGTTGCCAGGTACGATATATTCGTTGAAAGGACCGGGGTTCTTCCAGTACCGAAAGCCGATTCGGTCTCCACTAGGAGACCCTCCAAGGTCGACGACTAGGCCGGCGATGATGAGACCAATGATAAGGAGGATCTTGAGAGCTGCGAAGAAGACTTCACTCTTTGAATTGTCAGATATTGAGCCAAAAGTAGGTTGCGTCAGAACTCACCTCGCCGTAAACCTTCACCCCACAGAAGTTGATGACCACGATGACCACGATGAAAACCGAGTACCAGATCGCAGGATTGATACTGTTATCCCAGAAGTTGATCAAAGTTGCCGCAGCGGCGAGCTCAGCTGGCGCCGTGATTGCCATGGTGTACCAAAAGTTCCATCCGGTTGCAATGCCAAGCGCAGGTTGGACGAACTTCGTAGCATGCCGAACAAATCCTCCAGTGACAGGCATGAAGGCTGACATCTCTCCTGCAGACAGTGCGACACCGCAAGCAATTAAACCCATACATAGATATCCGAAAAGAGCGCCGACGGGTCCTGCGGTAGCGATGGCCTGACCGGATGCTAAGAATAGTCCAGTTCCCTAGAGTTTGTGCATGAGTATGGGGACTGCAAGAATAGTATAAGGTGATTTGACCTACAATCATGCCAGCTATGGCAATCATGTTGATATGGCGACGCCCAAGGTCGCGTTTGACCTCATAAGTCGTACCGACGGCTCCATGTTCAACCTCTGAGTTTGACGCAGAAGTTTGCGCAAATTGCGTAGTATCCTTCTTTGACAGATCCATGATGATGCTCTCTCAGCATGGGAGCGCGCGACGGTTCCTACAAGTACCAAGCCGAAGCGGGAAGCTTATCTCACTTAGCAGTTCGGCATCTACGGGGGATTCAGTGACTTCGTAACCGTTGATAGCGGGGTTCTAGTTTCTGATAGGGGCTGGTCAGGGCGCCCGAAAACCGGCGATCATGCTGGGGTGTCATGAAATGCCGGTTGCTATCTGTCATGCTTAGAACGCCGGTGGCCCCACCCTTCTCGAAGCGGCGGGATAATAGAATCCACGAAGACACGAGATGAGCGTGAAAAACATCAGCAACTTTCCAAAGTCAACAGAATGTCATCGGGCAAAGACGACTCTTTCCAATTGTACGACTTGCGAGTTGAGGTTGTTTGCCCGCCAGGCGAGCGCATCTTGTGTGGAGCCAAAGAAGGAGACCATTTTACCGTGCAAGGAGAGATGCTACATCTACCTGAAGGTCAGGGCATAAGCTTCTACAGCTTAGGTAAGTTGCACGCTCGAATACTGCACACTCCAAGACTGACGATTCAATCGCATTTCAGCGGCAGTACTGCCTCTGCTAGGGGCCAAGCAGCGGCCGACTCACGCACATGACTGGATGTCCACGGATGCATTGATCGCATGTCCAGACCCGAACTGTAAATCGCAGCTCAAGATCATACGGACCGGGTTGCGGACCTTCAGTCATGCGGATACCACGGTAGTTGGCCTCGAGGGAAACTCTTGACTTTTGGACTGAGATATACGTATGGAACATCTGTTTCCTCAGCTTTACACAGAGCATCAATTGTTGTGGAGATGGTCTTAGAGGCTTGGCGGGGATGGAGGTATAGGGCTGAGCGCATGCTGAGGATGTTCTCGTAGACAGATTGTCATATTCGACAACACAATCGCGATAGCAATACATACAGCTTTTGACGCGTCGCGGCGTCAATAGAGGCTGCAAGCGCCCTCCAGGCAATCAATCTTTGTCACCAGTATAATCACCGTCATGGTATCATTCTCATCTTATACCAAGGGCCGGCTGTAGCTGGTGCCCCAGCCACGATGCCCTCAATCGCGCAATGATACCCCCATGTCGCTGTAATTCCATGAGATGGGATTGTGAATTTGTAGTAGTTCGATAGCCTAATTTGCGGTAGCTGGGGCTCGATGGCGCGACGTCGGACGCTGGGGCGATGGCAGAGGCAGGCGCGTGGTGCGCGTATGTTTGGCGGTGACGTCAGCCGTGTCAGCCAAGGTGGGAGCTCATGAGCATATGTCAGTCGCGCATCTTTCGAAAATCGCACAGCGTACGTATGGTAGATGACAGCATCGGCATGAGCATCAAAGTGGTCGCGTGGTGGGGTATAGAGAGGTCGTACAGGCGTGGCATAGGTAGGAAGAAGAGGCGAACCCTGGAGCGCACAGGCGAGCTGGGATGACGCGACGACGCCTAAGGTCAAAATTACACCAAACTGCCCACGTAGGTTTGCCGGCTATTCTAAAGCCTTCGAGATAATCGTTTAATTTACAAGCCAGGCGAACAAGCCAACAATTCTCTTCTACCTGTATTCACTCCCGCAATCGCCCATGACCTTAAACACTTCCTCCCTTCTGCTCTTCTTAAGTACTTCTTCGATGCTCCTCTGATCTTCTTCATCAAGATTCCATCCATACGTCTTCAAGTTTTCTTCTGTATGCTCACTAACACCCATACGCGCGCCAATGATGACTGCCCCTACGTATGGGAAGTCGAGAACCCATCTCGTAGCGACGTTCGAGATGGAGACATTGTGCCTGGTCGCGATAGCCTTCAAACTCCGTAGTAACGTCTGGAACAGATCCCAATCACCCCATGTCTGGATCATTTCAAAATACTTCCGCTGGGATGGTGTCGTATCAGGACCAAACAGCTGTGGCTCAGGTTTGCCGAGCCATTTCTCAGCAAGAAAGCCTCCACAAAGAGTGCCATATGTGAGGAGTTTGACGTTGTGTCGTGCGCAAACCTCGCCCATCTTAAACCGTGGTCGTGCATCGATAAGGGAGAATTGAACCTGGTTGGTGACGACATCGATGCCATTGTCAATGACTTCTTGGAGACGTGTGGTGTCAAAGTTGCAAAGTCCCAGATGTCGAACTCGTTCGTCTTCCTGCAAAAGTCGTAGCGCTTCGATATACTGGTGGTCGTTGTAATCTTGCCAATGGAATTGTAGGAGATCGACCTTGCTGGCGCTCATGCGCTGGCACCGCTCAGTGACGTTGGCGCTGATGACTGTGGGCGACACTGTAATTTTATGGAACACACAGTACTTCGTGGCACCGAAAATGGCCTCGGGGTCGGCTAGTGAGGATCTCAGTCGTCCGAATATAACCTCTGCATCGCCGTAATGGTCAGCCATGTCGAAGGCAGTGAAGCCACCTGCAATATACTCTGCAAATTGCTTGAACATCTGTATTTGTGACGCAGTACCCCATGATGGACTAGACAGCTGCCAGAGGCCCGCGAACAGCTTCGGCAGCTCGATATCCTTGACTCTGAAAGTCTCGATAGAGGTCGATGTCTTCCGTCCGGTAATTGGACTTTGGCAAGAACCATTCTGGTGGGCTGGTGTCGGTATACCGCTTTCGCGACCAAGCATGGTCGCAAGAACTGCAGTACTTCGTTCGAAAGGGAAGTCCTGCGCAGAAGCAAGCCATCCCTGGTGACACCGTAGCAATGAATTGAAGAGCGAGTCCATCGCTGGTCTCTCCTCTTCATTGAGGTCTCTACTGCCGCTATCGGACAACAAGCGCTTTTGAATCGCAGTTAAGGCCTGCACGATATCACCATCAACAGAGGCTAAACTGTGGTTGAGTTCTGTCGACCGAGGCACGGTGTGTTTGTCCGCAAAGCTGACGGATTCGTCTACAATCTTATTGAGTATTGGGAAGCTGTCGAGAACCAACCCGCATCCTATGGAGCAACGTAGGCGCTGCTGGGCCCATGTGAAGTTCGATGTCGAGATAACTCCCTCGGCCGTCGACTGGAATAGCTGGTCAACGGGCTGATTGGCGGTCTTCCTGAGATAAATTCGCGTCTGCTCTTCGAGAACATTTGTGACTGATGGCTCCGTTGTCAAGATGACTCTGATTACGCTTCGAAGTGCGTCCGCCGGTAGATTTGCTATGATGGTGTCGGTCATCATGTTGACGTGTGCCGTCTTGGCTTTCGAACGTGGTATTTGAGTCATGTTGCTAGTTGCGTAGTATCTAGATGTGCGCTGAGTTGATACTGACTTGGACTATCTAGGTAATGAAGAAAGAACTCATGCGATGGTATAGTGCATGTATGCATAAGCTAAGGAGAGCACGTGCCATGCCGCCGGCGACTCAATCTACGGTAGAACACCGGCGATCTGCACGAACGATAGAAGTGGACCGAAGTCGCAGCATGGTGCTGAGTCGGGTTTGAGAGAGCCGTGCGGGGTCAACGGTTCCGAGATGTTCGTATCGCTGCAAGAGCTTTGTAGGTGGGTGTCGAGCTTTCCCCTTGAATGACGGAGAATGATGGGAGCAGGTGTCGTGTCAGAAAGGAGCTCGGGAAGGGTTCCAAAGTAGTTAGCGTGTGGAGATAGCGATAAGACACTTGGATGCCTTACCCTTTCCAACAACACACTACTTAGATATTACTGTTGTGTCCGTTCCAGTTCGATCTGGTCTCAATGTCTGATAGACGCATTCAAGATGACAGAGGCTGATGACGCGCCCGGTCGCCAACCTCCGAAAGCCGTGTGAGTCCGCTCCGGGTCGACTGCAGTTGCGCGACTGATCTGTTTGAAGACCACACGCTTGCCTGCAATGTCGCAAGGTCAAGATGAAGTGCCACAAGACTGCGCAAGATACGCGGTGCGTGAGATGTAGTCGCAAGTCGTTACAGTGTGACTTTCTTGGACACCGGCGCGGTCGAAAGCATGGCTTCAAGTTGGTCATTCCTACTTTTTCCAGAAGGCAAGATGGCTGATGTGTTTGGTAGATTGCAGAGACCAAGCTCAAGAAGTCAACAGGGTGCTGCGGCAACACCATGGGATGATGAAGCTCAACGTGTTGATCACGATGTTGTTGTAGTGGGTGATGCGGATCCGTTGACAGATACACATTGCGCTCAAGGGTCAGCTTCTAGACTGCGTTCTCGACCCCAGTCAATGCAACGTTCAAGCCAGGATTTTTGGACGGAGAACAGAGGCTTCCGGCTTTCTGATATTCTCAACCGACAGATCACAAGAGGAGACTTCTCCTTGCAGAATGTGCTAAGTACTGAACACGGACATGCCTCAGAAGAATGCACACAGGGCACCTCAGATACTGATCCGATCAGCAAAGGCGTAGTCAACCTTCATTTTGCTACCGATCTATTTGAAGGATTCATGAAGCACCTCAACCCCTTCATCAGCCAATTGGATCCTACGCTACATACCTTCCAGTACGTCCGAGGGATGTCGTCGTTCCTATTCACCGCCCTCTTGGCGGCAGCGGCAAAGCTTTTGCATCCTGCGCTACGTAAAACTTTGCTTGCCCATGCTGAAGAGCTTTTCCTAGAGAGCTTCCGCAGTGGTGCGAAATCAGTTGAGACAGTTCAGGCCATACTGATCCTAACATATTGGAAAGAGCCCCGCGATAACCGTGCATGGTTAAACGTAGGCCATGCTATCAGGATGGCCATCGAGCTTGGTTGGCATCATCTTGGGGGTGATGGAATGAGACCCCCGGAGAACATGTCTGATCAGCAGGCGAAGCAATTCAGAAACATAGAAAGAACCTGGCTAGTGCTATTTGTCTATGACCGAAGGTACGGATAGAATGGTATCGAGATTATCGCAAGATACTGACATGCTGTACAGCATCAGCTTGCAGACCAGCAAGCCTTGGATGATTGAAAGGAGCAACTATCTAGAATCAGTTAGTAACTGGTACCTACATCCTCTTGAAATGGCCAACGATCGGCTACTTTGCGCATTCGTATCCCTTCGCCTCATCACCTCCACCCACTTCGAGATGATGACGACACAATATGCTCAACATCAACGACCCGAAACGTCGCACTATCGGTCTACGTTGCGTATGGCTGATGGGGAGATTGTTAGTTGGCAAAAGAGATGGACCGAGATAGTTTCTAAGCGGGGGGAGGACTGCCATGCAAGTGAAATCCATGCACAAACTGATGTGAGATTTGTACTGACTTAAACCACCAATCTTCAGTCCTTCTTGATCCCGTTCTATGGCAGCTACGCACGGCTACTCTTATACACTTCATCACTGCGCACATCGACCAAACTGAAGCACAGCGTGACTTCAGTCGATACAGAGGCAATTTGGAACAGCTACTCAAGCGCGCTTGACATGCTCAAGCTCGTTCCTGAAACCTCGGCATCTCAACTGTTATACTTCGCCCAGGACAGTGTGCATGTGATGGTCGCCTACGCAGCGGTATTCCTAATCAAGGTACGCTATACTCTGTCGCTATGTAGCTAATTCACTTACAATAAGATATAGCTATTACTTTCGGCACCAACATATATCCGGACCGAAATGGAAATGCCAGCCTTGAACAGCATTCGCAATGCGGCGACAGTATTCGAAAAACTTCAAGCGCCATCCAACACGAGCTGCGCATTGCAAGCAGCGTTCTTGCGCAATGTTTCTATCCAGCACGAAGCAATGCAGGAGCGTCGTACATCTTCGCTTTCGTACATGCCGGCCGCGCCCGCTGCAGCCGTGGACCCTGCGACCCATCAGCAAAGACCTGATATTTCTCCAGCGTACACTGATCAGGCCACCTTCGATACTACGTCGGAAGATGCATCCACGTTCAATATTGACTTTGTAGACGACGAAGCCTGGGCCTTTTTGTTTGCCAACGCTGGGTTTAACATTGGCCAGGGTGCATTTTTGTAACCAAACTGAACGCCACTGAAGACATCACACGTTTAGTAATATGTGATACGACTGTGTGTCTAGACGCGATTGATTGTAGCGTATCTAGAGAATCATCTTTCCCTCTACCTTAATATCGCCTGCCGAGAACCCGATGAGGAAGCTATACTCGCCATGTACAAAATCCCAGTCTTTCTTCTGCTCGGACCAGATTCTCAAATCATCCATAAGCACTTGCAGGGGAACATCTGTACTTTGATCCGCCTCGAGGTGCACTTTGGCAAATGCTTTGAGCAGCTTGGGAGGCTCGCGCGCTGCCTCCGGATACGACACGTAAAGCTGAACTACTTCCGACGCAGAGACTGTTCCAGTATTTTTCAAAGTCGTGGAACAGATGACGCGTTTAGAGTCAGCTGTGGCAGTAGAGTTTGCTAGGTGCACGGCGAGATCACCCAGTTCAAACGTCGAGTATGTGAGTCCGTGGCCAAATGAGAACAGCGCATCGACTTCGTGCTCGTCGTACCACCGGTAGCCAACGTTCAAACCTTCTTCGTAGAGTACACTCAGGTCTGACGTGATCTTGATGGCATCATCCAGTGTCTTGGGAAACGTCACCGGCAATTTTCCGCTCGGACTGACATCGCCGAACAGCAATCTTTCAAGCGCCAGGCCAATCTGCTGGCCTCCATACCAGGACTGCATTACAGCGTCTACCTCGTCGATCCAGGGCATGAGAACGGCCGAGTTGGTGTTGAGGACAACTACGGTCTTTTTTGACCGTTTGGCGATTCGTGATATGACTGCGTCCTGGTCGCCTGGGAGAGAAAGGCCAATGTTGCTATCAACACCCTCGGAATGCCTATCGGACGCGAAGACGATGCTGATATCAGCTTTTTCTGCAAGTGAAATCGCTTCTTCATCCCTTGCTTCGTTGCCTACGTCGACCCCCAGCGTGACCCCATATGCGCCAGTGGATAGCGAGTAGCCCATGGAATAGTTCAGGGACAAGGAAACTTCCTCTCCTGCTGTCAAGCTTGCGATGCCTTGGATGGTGTTTCCAAAGTTCGCTTTCGACATATTGGCGATGACTTGTCCGTTGATGTAAAGTATGGCATCTCCTTGGCCGGTCAAAGAGAAATGGTACATCCCGCTCGTGTTAGCTTTGAGGGTACCTTCATAGACGCAAGAAAATACTTGCGGCCATGAGACCCAGAGCTCCTTGGGGAATGAAGCTGAGGTGATGTTGGGTACAAAGTCGGTTTGGTTGATAGGTCCAGAGAAGTCTGTAGTAGTGTAGTATGTGACATTCAGGCCATCATTGACGAACATGCTGAAAGGCGCCGTTGGAAACTGCCCGGTACCAGGATAGGCCTCCGCATAAGTGATTGTCATGTTGCCTTCTTTGCTCGCTCGCTGCTTCAATGCGTCTAAGGGCGACTGCACTACCATTGTCGTGTCGATGACGAAGCCACCGTGGTTCTCCGTAACCTGGCTTTGATTCGTTCCGTCAACACCGTATACAGCAACATGCTTGTATTTCTGTGGCGAGAGTGGTAGCGTATGGTCGTCGTTCTTGAGAAGAACGGAACCGTCCTCAGCCATCTTCTGAGCCAGGTTAAGGTGAGATTGTGTTCTTGCCACCGACTCTGCATCTCCAGTGACTGGATTGTCGACCATTCCAAGCTTGAACATATATCGCCATATCCTTGCAACCATATCGTCAATGCGCGAGGTTGGTATGGTTCCGTTGTCGACAGCCTCAACCAAAAGGTCTCCGTAGTAAGCTGGAAACCCGTATGAACTCTCCAGAGAACCTCCAGGCATGCTGATATCTAGCCCAGCCATGACGGCGTCGACCGTACTGCGTGTGGAAAAATACCAATCAGCGACAACGAAACCCTGAAACCCCCAATCTTGTCTCAATGTAGTGTTCAGAAGCCAGTCGTTTTCGCACGCGAAGAAGCCGTTCAGCTTGTTGTAGGAACACATGACAGAAGCGGCATCTGCCTCTTGAATAGATGCCTTGAAGGCAGGCAAGTACAGCTCATGTAGCACCCGCTCGTCGATGTGAACGTCAACGGTATCCCAGTTAGGGCCGACCCCGAAGCGATTAGTATCTTGATTGTATCCAGCAAGATGCTTGGGACATGCTAAAGCTCCTTGACTCTGAACGCCCATGACACCCGCTACAGCCATTCGTGAAGTCAACCACGGATCTTCTGAAAAGGTCTCGGCTGCGCGGGCCCATAGTGGCGACCGGAGGATGTTGATAGTCGGCGACAGAACGACATTGCGGCCCTTTGCCATGTGCTCTTGGGCTAATGCTTGGCCGTAAGCATATTCGAGAGTAGTATTCCACGAAGCTGCGGCGGCAATTGGGGCCGGGAAAGCGGTGACGTTATTCAAGTTGTTTCCGACTCCAGCTGGGCCATCTCCCATGCAGATTGAGGGTACTCCGAGTGTCTCGTTGCCGGAGATGTGTCCTATGCAAGGATTGACCCCAGTTCCGTTATCATCAAGCTCGGTATCGCCTTGAACCATGGCATATTTCTGAGTGCTGTTCAATTGATCCAAAAACAGCTGCAATCGTTGTTCGGTAGGCAGCGTTGGGTCTAGCCATGGTCGATTCGCCAAAGTCCGTGAGGAGGCATGTACCTGCGTTAAGGTGTAGAGCAGGCCGGTTAAGACGGTGATGGAGACATACATCTCGCGGGGGAAAAATCGTCCTTCGAATAGATGTGGGAGACTTGAGGATAGCCAGAGTTGATTTACTACTTAGATAAGGTGGCTATGTATGCCATAGGTACTGGTGAGTTGTGCAGAGATGTTGGTTTGATTACTCCGCACTCCGCAGCTTCTCCCTAAGATGTGTTAGCAGACCGATAGAAAAGCCGAGACACCGGTGTCGAGACTGTTAGTGCAGTTGAAAGCCGATGCTGATAAAGTCGACCGGGAACATTTCCTGAGCACTACCCTATCTCTGGAAATGATCGGACAATCTGAGTTGCCTTCTCGTTATCGCCTAATGGCTCGTGCAATGGGCCTGGTATTAGCGTGGCTCGTTGAACACCGGCTGTCGACATTGAATGCCGGTGTCCTGATGCCCTTTACTGTGATCTTGATACAGCGATTCCACCATGCGGCAGCATATGTCTTTCAATATTCTTTTTTACTTTGATTGCTAGCATCCCTTGCGTCTAGTTGTAAATCGACCATATTCGTTGCCAGTTATCCCCTCGGGGCCTCGGGGTGATGCACCGGCACAGCTCGGTGGTTCGTGGACGTGTCATTTCGCGAAGCGCTCGCAAGCCAGCTGGATTTACCGACTGGTCTAGATTTGATGAACCCATCGCAGGTCTGATTCTAAGATGCAGGCACTGTGCGTAGCTGGAACTCGCAGCATGAGGAAGCTGGGGTTGGGGTGCCATGTGGGAGCGGCTGGCCACGTACTAGCGGTAGTGACGGCGATTCAATACGCCAATATCCGACGCTAGTGTCCTTGTGCCTCGAGGCGTCGCAATTCCTCAGCCCTATCACTCACTCGCGGCCATGTACTCAAGCAAGCGTCGGCCTGATTGAGGACGCGGAGATCTCATCGCGTCCTTCTATTCACGCCATGCTATCCTTCTACCCTGCTTCTCCATCGGCATCCACCTCGATCCCGGATCACATCAGCTCTCCAGGGCTTGCTGATACCATTCACAGTGCTATATTTATCATCATGCGCGCAGCTGTCTTGCAGAGTGTCTGCGTAGGGTACTGACCTGTTTGCGCAAGATGGTCAACGTCGATGTATTATCGTGTTCGCCATCCAAATATAGCTCCGTTCTCATCACACTACCGCACCCATTCATGAGTGCATTCAAAGACTGCAATGCTATGTGAACTGTCCGCTGTTCGCAGCATCCAACACTTCCAACTTCACGGATCGCCAGTCTTTCGAACGCAGTATCAGTACTGAGTATTTACATATAAATGGAAGACCCAGGCTTGTATACAGTTCTTCTTTCCTCATCCTCTCGCTTCCACTCTCTGTTACTAGATCTATTTGGAGTCTCAATCAAAGCCACAATCTCTGCCAGTTCGTCCTGACACCATCTGCTACCCTTCGCTGTCAATCTCACACATTTCCTTGCCCACCGATGGCTGCTGGCCCTCCCGTAGATCAACCCTGGCTCGCCAACGTCGGTAACAACCCCAACATCAACCGCGAACCACCGCCTCCTCCGTTCAACGCCGGCCCAGCACCACCAGCTCACCATCCCGGCGTAGGCGCAGGTGGCGCCCAATTCGTCGTAGAACAGCAAAACGCCCCTGTTTACGGCCCTCCTCTCGGCATTGGTATTGGCGGACCAGCATTTGGCATCGCTCCTCCATTCGGTGGTGTCGGCATAGGTGCGTTTCCACCCGTCTTCCCACCCGTCGGCGTCATGGACCCCTTTATGATGGGCGGATACATGGGACCTGCTGGCGGTTCACTTGCTCCTATCCGTGCGGGCCACTTTCTTCCAGGCGCTCATCACGGTATAGGCTTTGGTCTACACGCGGGCGGTATACCATACCCACCACCTCCTCCTGGCGCCATTGCGGGCGTCGTACCCCCCTTTGCTCCTGCAGCGCCGCTGTGGGCAGGCGGCGGTCTCGCTTTCGGTAACGTACCTGCTGTAGGCGGCGTCGTTGGTGGAGTTATGCCTGGTATAATGATGGGCGGCGGTATGATCCCTGCTATGGTGGCCCCTGGTATGACAGGCGCCCAACACTTCCGTCCAGCACCCATGTTCCATGACGGAAACCGCGGACACCCAAATCAGCCTGCACAGCAAGATGTCGGTCAGATCGCTGGCGGTATCCCCCCGGGCGTCATGCTTGTCGAGTCGGCTGAACACACCATCTTCTACCGCATCACGGGCAATATCTGCCCTTGGCTTTCTCCTGGTTCACCACTGCCGTTGGAACCGCTTGCTGCGGCTAGTACCACCGGTCTCAACCGCCTCATTCAGATCTGCAATGATGGTACGCCCGAAGACGAGTTGGAGCATTGCGCGGTTACGGAGTGTATTGAGCTGGGTAATGGTATGTGGGAGAAGGGTCAGACGTTCAAGTATAACGATGCGGTTTCTAGGGTTTTGACGATGAAGGATGCCGGTTGGGACAATACGAGGAACAGGCAGAACGGTAACACCCTTCATCTTTGGGGCCACCGTCTCTAGACGCTGGTTGGGTGTTTTGTATGGTGCCGAAGAAGTCCGCTGCTCTTAGTAGTCTTTGAAATTTCTCGCTACTGGCATGGATTGCGACTCAAGATAGTCTAGTGTTTTCTGCATGCATGGTAGGCGTTGGATCTCTTTCGTATGTATTGGGATAATGTTGAAGAATATTGCATCACTTTAGCTATCTGTCAATGACGAATGAGTGAACGGTGTATAATGACGTTCATGAATTTTGATGACTTAATTCCAGAGCCGCTTCCTAAGTCGTAATGCATAGGCGCATGCCAACTATCCTGACGATGGTGCCTGACTCATCCGCTCCTTCTTCCCACCGCCCAACTTCCTCCACAGCTTATTTATCCAGCGCTCCTTGACCATCTTCAGTACCACATATGCGAGGAACCGATAAACGATAGCGCAAATTCCCAGAGCCATGAGATTCATCTCTGGATTCTTGTTCAGTTTGTACAAGTCAAGCACCTGTTCTCCGGATTGAATGGGACACTGCCCGTTGACCCTCTGCCAATCTTCACACGTAAACTCCAGACCACGTAGCGTATACGGTGCCATATTGCCAACAGCCCACTTCACAGGCGAAAGATGATTCCACGCCTGCAAAAAGTCTGGAACATCGAGCGACAACACACCACCCATGACCTGCGCAACACTCAGGAAAACCGACATGCAGTTTACCGAGAAGCCAGTGTGAGTGAAGAGCGTGTTGAAAGCGATTCCTAGACTCTCGCCGCAGCTGGTGATGCAGAAGGCGTTGAAGGTGATGATGAAGTACGTTTGCGCATTGCGTTCTAGACCCACGGCGAAAACGGCGAGAATGGAGAAGACGAGGCAGCTTATGATCTCGAAGGGGGTGGTTATGGAGATGTAGGTGAGGAAGAAGGCTTCAACGCCGTAGATGCGGTCGTCATAGTCGCGGTAGAAGACGTCTCTCTCGATTGGGTAGACGGCGATGTTGTTAAGCACTGACGGGTTAGCATAGTGACAGGAGTTGAGCAGGAGGGTTACATACTGCCGACGAAGTAAAGTGGAGCGATCTCGACAAGGAACCCCATCCTATTTTGCACATATTCGTAGTCAGTCTTCAACGGTGCGAAGTAAAGCGCAAGCACGATACCCAATCCGACAACTTGCATGACGCGCGCAATCAGAATGTCCGGCTGCCGGAACATGTTCTTCGTCGCACGCCGAATCAGAATCGAGTATGCTGCAGCGAAAGATGATGGCTCTCGTGCCATACTTCCCAGTTCCGCCGGCGTGGTTATCGACCCAGTTCGAGCGACAGGGTAGACGTCAGCATTCCACGACTCGACCAACTTGCGTACTTTCTTCCGGCTGGCTGCCTCACGTCTCTCGTGCTGAAGGTCAACGGTGATAAGATCGAGTGCGAAATCCGCTGGGTTGACGTGACGAGGACACTCGTAGCCTAGATTGGCGAAGTGGCCCAACATGTTGTCGGCAGGGCCGGCATAGATGGGATGTCCGCCGCGGGCTAGGAGTAGGATGTTACCAAAATGCGCGAAGAGGTCGCTGCGAGGTTGATGGATTGTGACAATGAGTGTGCGACCCTCTTGTGCTAGACCACGAAGTACGTCCACGATGGACAGTGCCGTAAATGCATCTAATCCTGACAAAGGCTCGTCAAGCAACAGTACGCGTGGTTCCGTCAGAACTTGGACTGCGATGGTGACTCGGCGCTTTTCGCCACCACTGATGCCTTTGACAAGGTCGTTACCAATGAGATTGTCTGCGCAGTCTTTGAGACCCATCTTCAGCAAGATCTCCTCGGCTTTCTGGATCTTCTGCTCTTTCGACATCCACTTTGGAAGTCGTAAGCCAGCTGCGTAACGAAGCGTCTCGCGTACAGTCAGTGACGCCAGTAGTGCGTCGTCATCCTGGGTGACGAAAGAACAGATGGAGTGGACGACCTCTTTGGCCGGGATGAGGCCGTTGTAGCTCATGGTACCGTACTGCTTGTACCGCGTGGATGTATCGTCTTTGAGTCTCATCGCCATGCTGTTTAGCAGAGAAGTCTTCCCGCTGCCCGAAGGTCCCATGATGACGTTCAGCGACCCAGGGAAGAAGTCGGCGGTGAGAGGCTTGATGATGTTCTTGGTCCAGCGCTTCCGTAGCGACCGTTTCTCCACGTCCATGCCATAGCCCTCTAAACGGATGTCGATCGTCCGGACGTTGTCTGCCACACGCTCGCTCATCTTTTCTTTGCCAGCAGAGGCATCCATGTTGGACGGCCTGGCACGAGCCATGGCGATCTCGGCGTTCCAGAACTTGAGCAAAATTCCCGCTCCCACATAGAAGGCGATGGCGAACCCGAGGAGAGCGAGTATAGGCCTCCAAACCCAATTGTTTGGGAAGCCAAGAGAATCCATGATGAATTCTCCATCGTATTCTTTGCAGGCTGGATTCGATCGTCCGCCCTCATACGGGCAGTCGTAGAACGAGCCGGAGAACTCGTTGGCGCATAATGCTCCGAAAGCGTAAAAGACATAGGCGGTCCACTTCGTCCAGCGCACGTAGATGGGAATCGTGTTTGACTGGATGAAGTATCCGCAAGCCATAGACTGCAGTGTGTACGCTAGGTTGGCCACCAAACTCGCTCCAGCGAAATGTCTTGAGCACGCGACACAGGTCATAGCGAAGCATACAGCGATGTACTGGTGTAACAGTATGATCACGAAGAAGGTGAGGAACTGGCCTCCATCCGCGCGAAAACCGCAGAAGAAGTAGTAAATCAGCGAGAAGATGAGGGGCACTGGTATATCCTCGAGCAAAATTCTGGCTAGGCGTCTGGAGATGAGAAAGGCGGGTATACTGACTACACCTTGTCGCGCCTCTTCGTCGAAGAGTTGGATGTCGGTTGTAAGTCGATATGTCTCGTAGAGCAAGATTAGATAGCCCTGCAGGGCCGCTGCGTTGTATAATGCTCCTTGTCGGGATCGTATACCAGATAATGAGCCATCCAGCTGCAAAAATATCCATCCTGTAATGACCGCCATGCCGATGGCTTCGACAAGACTTCCAAACAGGCCTATATACAACCAAGTTAGTATACGCTTAATCTATAGATATTATATCGGACGTCTTACCCATAGGGTCACGAATTGTCACAGTCCATGTTCGTGCGGTAAGTACACGAGTCTGCTGCATGAGCGACGTTTTACTGGCACGTTGCTTCTTCCGTTGATCCTGCGTCATCGTAGTGGCTGGAGCTGGAGGTTCAGATTTCTCCTGAAGGCTACTGCTGCAATGAGACCTCCAGGCTTCTATTACGCGACCTACTCGATCCTGTGCCGCCTTCTCCGCTTCCACGCTCCGATTGTCAACACTGACAACGTCGATGAGATACTCCGCTGGATTTGTAAACGGAGGCATTTCATGACCAAGCTTAGCAAAGTACGGAAGGCATTCTTTCGCGCTACCAGCATACGCAGGACTGCCCCGAGATAGGAGGATGACATTGTCGAAAAGATCCCAGATCTCAGAACGCGGTTGATGAATGGTGACGATGATGGTCCGTCCATTTCGTGCAAGAGTTTGGAGAGTTTTCACCACCTGGTGGGCGCTTGTTGAGTCTAATCCAGTGGTCGGCTCATCCAGCCACAAAAGCGAAGGGTTTGATAAGAGCTGGACGCCGATGCTCGTCCTCCTCTTCTCTCCGCCACTGCAGCCCTTGTGCGCATTGTTGCCGATCCTCGTATCTGCAGCTTCTTTCAAGCTCAGCTCCAAGATGACTTCTTCAACCAGCTGCTTCCTCTCTTTTGCGTCAACAGAAGAGGGTAGTCGCAGTTGCGCAGCATACGTCAGAGTCTCTCGGACAGTCAATGTCGGCAAAAGGATATCTTGCTGTATAACATATGCGCTCCTGATGCCGGATACATCCTCGCTACCATTGAATAAGGTCCGTCCTGAAGTGGCAAGTCGGTTTCCTACTGCCAGGCGCCCGCTCATGGAGTTGAGTAAGGATGTCTTTCCGCTTCCACTTCCACCTATGATGGCTGTAAGACTCCCACTTGGCATATCCGCTGATATGTCGTCCAGGATAGTCTTGACATGATTGGTCTCTGGTGACGACTTCTGTTTTGAGAAGGCGCGAGCAAGAGCAGTAGGTGATTCGTCCACAGAAACTGTGAGGTGTTCCAGTCGGACAGAGACAGGGTCAACTGCGCGCAATGAGATACCGTGGTTGTCGCTGAGATCGCTAGTTGTGGAGTCCCCGCGGAGTGCTGTGGGAGGTGTTGCAGGCGCCTCCTCTTCTTTGGGGCCGGGCGGAGCGCCAGCTGACGCCGATGGCCGCTCTTCTTCGTTTCCCTGCATAGGCCCTTGCTCCATCTTCTTTAGTGACTCCGTACTCGTACCTGGGGTTGAGGGTAAATGTTCATGATAATGCAGTCGCAAAGGATGAAGCGCGCAGCGTGCATGGATTTCTCCAGTCGCCGCTCACATGTCAAGGCGGAGATTCTTGACGCGATACGACGTTGTTCAAACACGCCCGGCGCCCGCCTCGCTTGCCAGCCGACCTGCATGCAGGGGCTTGGCTGGACTCTTCTCCTACAGGTCTCATTCTTACTTTTCTATAGTTCGCAGCTCGTTCTTTGAAACTTCCAAAATCAATTCGATGGCTTGTGGTATGTTAGCAGCTCACATCGCGAAGAAATGTTGTTGTTCGACAAGCCTAGTTACGGCTTACAGCATGGAGGAGGGTTCAACCTCGCTGAGCTCTCCAGACCGGGGGCGGGCAAAACCCCAACTCGGAAGAACTGCGTTCCAACTAACTTGCCAATCTTGGGCAGCGGAATCCTGCGCGGCATGCATCTTTATGCAAAGGAATTCGAGCGAGCAAAATAAACGACGCTGCCAATCAAACCTTCGAACAGCCAGTAAAAAGGTTACAAATATAGACGTCCGAGGCGATTGCTCAGGGTTTGTGTTGGTTAGGCCTTCTCTCTGTTATACAGTCCGTTGCGTCGTGTGGTGCTGGCTCCTCGGAGGACTTCTCGATAGTGCGCGTCTGCTTCGGGGGCCAACCACCCCGCATCAGAAGACCTCGAGGATGCA